GTTTGTCCACCTACTTCTGCCCTCTAACTTGTCCTTGGCTTCACAGCTAACAGACAACTGTTCTGACAACTCAGTATACAGAACAGATTTTATGTAATCTCTTCTCGACTTGTTTATTTAGAGCATGCTACCTTATTTCTGTCTAAATAGCTTGGAATAGGTGATAGATTCATCGTGAACACACACAGTTGGGGATGAAAATCACTCCCATAATGAGAGATTTCATTGCGGAAGTTCATCTAGTTACATTTCAGTAAACACACCAGTACAAGGGCACTCAGAAACTCAGAAACTGGTCAAGGGTAGATACCACTTACAAATTCCATTAGACCTTTTAAGAGCGAAAAGCATGTTTAAAAATTATGGCTCAAATAGAAATAAAAATGAAATTGTTAACAATTTGGCAGGAACATACCCCAGAAGACAAGGTGTTCCCCTAGGGACAGGGCTGGGAACACTAGCTGAAAGTAATTGAGAGCTCAAGTGAAAGAAACACCATGCTCTGTGTCCTGGAAGGTGGATATTGGAAGCAATGAACATAATTCGGTACAGGTTTTATGCTATTTCTTTATTTTGAGAAATTGTGTGTCATTAAAATTTGCCTCTTGGCAGAGGCAATGTCACCATAACACTCTGTGAGTCTTGTTACATTTTTACAGTAGTCTCAAGCCCTGATCCTGGAGAGCCCCAATCCAGACAGTGCTGCAGCGCATGTTAAATCACCTGTGTTGCAATATTATGAACACTTGGAAGTAATTTGTTAAGGTAGCTCTGTTTCTTGAAGGCCAGAGGGTATTCTGTTTTCTGTCCCAAGTGACCACTAAATTACTTATTCTAGTTGTTCCATCACTCCCGGTAAAATTGTTCCATGTCTTTAGAAAGTGATGATTTACCTGTTAAGTATAATATCTTCAGGACTGGTGTTCTCCGGGTTAGATTAGAGACCCTGTGCCCTCACGAATGAGACCAGAAGAAAGGTTGCAAATGAGAGGAGACCATTTGGCCTGTCTTGCTTATTTGCTTTCTGGTAGCATATTGATCAGAGTACTGTATACTGTCCAGCCAGAAAATGTGCTGCAGCATGGGTGGGCAGGTTGTTCAAGACCCCACGATCACTTCAGGGATTTCAGGTACGGATGGGAGCTATAAACAATATAAGGAGAAGGCTTCCATACATTTAGCTGTGCACAAAACACCTTTAGGACTTTTGTGCCAGAGCTGACTGAGACACTTGGTAACTGTTTTCATGGTCTGTACTGAGGCTAAAGAGTGAACTTCATTATTTTTCTGCACTAATCCCCAAATCAAGACTGCCTCAGATTTAAAGAAGCCACGTGTCTTGCCATTTCTGAAATTTATTTAATTTCCATCTGCTATTTGTTTGAAAGGGTAAAGAACACTTTAAATCATTAAGCACTCAGGCTCAGTTAAACAGCTCACAACAAGCAAGAAAAGAGCAGTGTTTCCTGGCGATATTTTGTGTGCAGTAGAAATGTCACTAAATTTGCTCCCTTAAGATGTTTAAAACAGAAACAGAATGCTTGACTTGTTGGTTTAGTTCAGGGTTTTCTAATCCTCTTCCTGGGGACTCAATCGCCTGCTGGTTTTAATTGCAGTTGGGCTCTTGAATTTTTAATCGAACCAACAAGTTACTTGGTTGGAACAATTGCAAGTTTTTTTTTTTATTCAATTGTTGAAAACTTTAGCTTTCTAATGTTGAAAATGTCGTGAAAAATAAAACTATGCAAGAGTTAAAAGGCGACCTCCAGCATGCTCTGGAACTGAAATCAATTAAAGGGTTTTAGTTGATTAATTCAACTTATTAAACTATGAAGGTTCAGTGATTTTACTGAGCGCTCAGGTGGTTCAAAATCCAGCAGACATGGTGTCTCCAGGTCCAGGCCTGGGAATCTTGCTGTCCTTAAACTTTTAGATTTCATAAAACCAGAAAAAAACGTCTAAAGATCTCTTAGTAAATCCACAAACTGCAGGAGCTGATCACTCTGTTGGGTTTTCATACAGCCACTGAAACTACATTTCTACAGAAATGTCATTCAGAAGGAGACCAACTCAGGAATCCTCCCTTCCAACCCCAACACCACCAACCTCCACCGAGCAAGAGAACTGAACGTTTCATTTCAGCTTCGAAATACTTTAAAGCTTTCTTTGCTGTCAAATAAGGACAGTCTTCTGTTACTGCTCGGATGAAGTAACAGAAACAGGAAAAGGAACTTGCAAATTCATGGTTACCCAATGAGAACAAAAAAAGATCTGACCTTCAGACAATATTCTTTTCCCAGAAATGTATTTTACATGGAGTAAGTGTCCATTGATGATGTTTCCAAAAAGTGGTTTCCAAAAACTGCAATACGTACGTCAAACGTCCCACCCCCAGCACTTCACAAAAATGTTTTTTTACAACAAAATATCCTACTGCACATTTTTCTGAATGTGGTCTTTTTTCCAAACAGATATTCAGCCATTTAGATAGTGTATAATACAGCAAGCATTGTGTAGCTGTGTTGTCAAGCTTTAACTTAAAAGGTCTAAACATATTGTAACTGTAAATATAAATTTATTAAAAGTAAAGCACAACATTATGATGCATTAAAAACAGAACATTCCTTAACACTTCTTATTTCAACTTCATGGTTGACTAAATTGAGAAAGCAAGCTAAAATTGCTCTCACATGGCTGAATGATCCTTACCATGTAAACTGCCATATGATCTGTGTTACTGATACAATAAAAAGTGAATGAGAAAATAAAACATTGACTTTACTCCAAAAACAAAAAAGGACAACCTCAGGCGAGGTTTATGACATTAATTTTTACTGACTGAGGTACTACACAGAACAGAATTCAGGAAATAAAAATCTGAAATGCAGTTAATGTCTCCATGTGGTAGCACCAGCAAGAACTGCATTTATTGCTTCCATTACACACATGTATGTACAATACCCACACTGGCCACAATATCAGAAAACTCCACTGAACAGCATGTTGGGTCTCTATGAGCAGAAATAACAGCCTGGGTAGTCTGGGCCATTCATACCGAGCAAGGTTTCAAAATATCTTCATTCCAGACTTGTTCCTTTTTTATCTGGCAGGATCTCCTGCAGCTGAGGTCACAAGCTTGTGAGACTGAACTGCCCATTCCAGTTTTAAACAGGGTCACGCACAGCCTGCCACTGGGACTCTGTTCTTTAGATCTCATACCATTTCGTCTAGCATATAAAAAAGATTATTCTAATACGACATCCCCATGTCTGTATGTTGAACACATGTATGAGAGGGGAGAACCAACTCTGTCCAATAAAGCTAATTAAGTTAATGAAGGGCCGAAGAGGAAGGAAGACCAGAGAGGTTCTGGCCCTCCGTGATGTCCCCTTAATGTACGAACACTACATTGCATAAAGTTGTAGACAATGAAATAATGCAGAATTATGGACTCAAGCAAAAACCCTTCTGTATGATGGCAAAACTAAAGCACTGCCTTGGGTTCTTTTGCGGGAAGCAGTTGGACAAGGGAAGATCCACCAGGAGCAGGATGGAGAATCCCTCATACCGAGCAAGGTTTCACAATCCTGTTCTTAGACCATGCCCCTGACTTCTAGTTTTTATATCAGCTGAGCTCTCGATGAGTTGGAATTACTGAAACCTCAGTTTATTCAAATGCTTAATTTTAAGCCTTGGCTGTACCCAGGTCTGAGTTTCAGAAACGACCTCTTTTACAAGCATTATACTGTATACACTCAATAAAACAAACAGATCTGCAATTCAACTTGGTTAACATTTTTATATAAAAATTAGCTATAAAAATGTATCAGGAAGTTCTCAATTAATGGGCAGAGTAACAGGTAGGAATCACATTATCAAACACTACACTGCCAAACATTCTCATTAGTAAAATTCACATGGTACCTACATTTTAAGAGCTGAAATTATTTATAAAATTTTTTTGACAATCAAATAATTGATTGTCTAATTAGCTTAATAATGAAAGAGCTCCATTGAAGATCTGAACACGTATACCTCAGAGGTGTAGCTCAGGATTAATAATGAGAAGCACTAAGTAAGATCTCCATCTCAAGTTCTGGAGAGTACCAGCCCAGCAAATTGGATAGATAATCATTAAAACCTCAGCTTTTAAAGTTTTTGCTAAGGTATTTTGTGATAATTTAATGGTCAAAATTCATGATACCAGACAGGCTTTAACTACCAGAGTTCCCATTAATGTAACAAACTACTGTACTACTTAGTTGTCTATAAATTTACATTTGTCCCTGCCCTAACCTTTATAACACAGGACTCTGGCTCTTGTGATTTGCAGTAGTTGGAGACTCCTGAATTGGAGAGCTCTGGCTCCTCCTTGTGGCTCCTCCAAAAGTTAATGTAACATGGGTGTGTTTCAGTATTGATCCAGTTTATCCTTGTCCGGTTCTCTGTTAGCTTGACACCTTCATTCAATCACTAATTAAAACAATCAAAATATCCACCTTCAATCTGTTTGAAGCTTTAAGGTCACTTGAACCAGGAACGGCTGTGAACACTGGGTTACAGTCCATTACTGTCTGCATTAATCACAGAGATGTATGATAACCTTAGAAAAACATTCCTGCTCATCAAAGGTTGGGCAACCAATTGTGAATTGTTTAGAATAATATTCTAACACACTCCCATAACAAAATAGGAAAATAACACCCATCCACATGTAGGGCTTATCCTAAAAGTTCTAAGCTAAAACTTCTTTGTTGACCAGCATCCATATCACCCTGCAACTCACAACTGGCATCCCACTGAAGCTGAGCAGGTATGAGCCTGGTCAGTACCTGGAAAGGAGACCTCCTTGGAAAAACTAAGGTTGCTGCTGGAAGAAGTGTTAGTGGGGTTATAGTAGGGGGAGCTCACCCCACGATCTTTGTGGGTCCTAATGCCCCAGTATAGTGACGGGGACACTACATTGTGAAATGGCCCCATCTTTCGGATGAGACATAAAGCCGAGGTCCTGACTCTCTGTGGTCATTAAAAATGACTGGCCCTTACCAATCATGCCCGTCTAATAATCCCCATCTCCGAACTGACTTCATCACTTTTTTCTCCTCCCTATTGATAGCTGGTGTATGGTGACTGGCACACTATGGCTGCCGTTGTATCATCCAGCTGGGAGCTGCACACTGGTGGTGGCGGGTAGCCCCTTAACTGTACAGCATTTTGAGTGGACTGTCCAAAAAAGTGCTATGTAAGTGTTAGGAATTATTATTTTCAAGAGCTCCTCTGATTACATACAGTAGAAAACTTATGGCCATTTTTGCACATGTTCAATCCTTTTGTCTTCTTTAGAGAGCTGAGAATTGAATAGAAAAGCATCCTTGGAGAAAGGACTCCATGTTTAAAAGGGTTCTTTAATTGATGTTGTGTGCCGGCATACTGTTTTAGACAGCTTAGCTATAATCAGGTATTCCTAAGTAAGACGCAAAGTAAATCCCTGTTTCAGTCCTGGGTATCTAAACCAGACAGGAGCGGGTTTTCTTCATCAGCTTCTCCCCTAGTTTGGAGAGCAATGTTAAGTTTGTGCCAGAACATCCTGGTCTCTTCTCTGTGTCCGGGCCACTTCAGGTAGGTCCTCTTCTTGACCAGCTTCCTCATCCTGTGGTATGGGGACAGCTGGCAGGCAGGAATGTCCTCTAGGAAGACCAGGATCAGCACGTCCTTCTGCTCATCGAAGAGACGGAAACTGGCCACCTGGATCTCCCTGGAGCACCACTCGCTCTCCAGGTAGTGCCGGCTGATCAGGCAGATGGTCTTGCGGCTGTTGTAGATGCTGTCCACGATGTTGTCGATGATGGGCTTGCCGGCCTCGAAGTCTCGGTGATGCAGACACAGCCTCCATCCCTGGACCTGCTCCAGGTTGGGCAGCAGCTCCCTCAGGACCCAGAGCTCATCATGCGTGTTGTACGAGACGAAAGCATCATACTGGTATTGCAGGACAGGCCTTCTCCTTTTTTTCCTGTTGTCATAGAGGAAGGCCAGGAAGAGGTAGTAGGCATAGACCACCTGCCAGCGGAGGAATCTGTAGAAGAAAGAGGCCAGTAGGGTCAGGGCGACCAGTGTGGTGCTGGAAATGAAGCAGATGAACTCCAAGTCCACGCTGCAGGAATCCATTTTGAGGTCAATCAGTTTCATTCCCCTCAGGTTCGGCGGATATTTGCAGAAATACGTGTTCATGTAGATGACTTGAGCATACGTGTCATGCAGAGCCCATTTCAGGAACCAAGAATTGTCACAGTCGCAGGAAAAGCTGTTCTCCCGCAGGTCCACGTATTTCACCGATGGCAATGAGCGGATGAGGGATTCGGTGATGACGGTCAACTCGTTGCCTTTGGCTCGCAGGATCTTCACTTGGGTGAGATTGGCGTGGATCAGGAAGTCCAAGGTTTGCAAACGCCCTTGAGTCAGAATGAATTCGGTTAGGTTTGGGATTGGTTGAAACAGCTGTGGAGTAAGATTGCCAATCGCATTTCTGCTAATATCAAGGAAAGATAATTTAGGAGTGTAGCTGAAAGTCTGGGGGTGGAGGAAGTTTATGTTCAGACGTCCAGCGTGAAGTTCTATTAGAGAGTCCAGACCCTCTAAAAAGTTTGAAGGCAGATTGAGAAGGCCTTCGTGACCCTGGCTGTTGAGTGACAATGTTTTCAAGGACTTCAGTAAAGAGAAAGGTGGGCTTTTGAGCTTTGCTGTGCTCTCATACGATATAAAATTATCAAAAAGCTGAAGCTCTCTCAAGGCAGGCATTCCTGAAAAGACAGTACCTGTTCTTAGGATGTCTCCTGTAATCTTATTTGAGCCCAGTAGCAGTGTAGTTAGGTTAAGCAGCCCCTGAAAAGCACCTTCTTCTATTTCACTAATCTGATTATCCACCAGGTTCAGTGATTTAAGGGAGTTCAAATTCTGGAAGGTACCATTCTTGAGAGAACTAAGTTGGTTTGACTTGAGGTCCAAAACCACTAGCTTGCGCAGGCTTAAAAACATTGGATATGTAATCATCCAAATGTGGTTCTTTCCCAATCTAAGGCTTCGAAGATTTATCAGGTCCTGAAAGGCAGAACCATTAATATCTCTAATAAGATTGTTAACTAGGTAGAGCTCTTTAAGCATGGTCATCTTGGCAAAATCTGAGCTCTTCAGCTCGCTAATGCTATTGTAACTGAGATCCAAAGTTTCCAGGCTGGTGATGATTCGTACTGCAACCGGGACTGCATTCAGCTGGTTGTAAGAAAGGTTCAGAGCATGCAGCTGGGACATGTTTTTGAATACAAAATCTGCAACCTGAACAAGTTTGTTCCTCGATAAATCCAAATCACGTAAGAGGGAGCAAGGCTTAAGCCCATCTCCGAGAGAGCCCAGACTATTCCCTTGAAGGTTAAAGACCCGCAGTAAAGGAAGCATCTGACAGGTTACATTCAAAAAAGCTTTGACTTTTAGATGTTTCAAGTTGCTCATTGTCAGGACTTCCAAAGAGCTGTTCAGGCACTGCAACACAGAAAATAGTACTTCTTCCGAAATGTTGGTACCATTTAATGACAGTTTCTTCACATCTCTCAGAAGAAAACCATCTCGGATGTACCATTCTTCACTACCATTTGTACCTGAATATGACAGGTCTAAACTCTCAAGTTTAGGAAGGATGTCGGTTGTAACGTTAAGTTTTGTTAACGGATTCCAGGATAAATCAAGCACTTTCAGGGCTAAAGGAAAATCTGACAAGTCTTCAGTTTGGAAAGTGAAAAGGCTGTTGTTTCCAACATGTAGCTGCTGCAGGTGAGGAAATTTCAGAATGGGTCTGACCTTGTTGAGATGCTGGAGCTCATTCGTGGTCAAGTTCACAAACCTGATGCTCAGAAGAAAGCGAAAGGCCGTGGATTCAACGCTCTTAATGTTGTTGTCACCCAGCTGTAGGACTGTCAGATTGCCCAGCCCCTCAAAAATGTTTTCTGAAAGTACGGACAGCTTGTTGCGGGCCATGTTCAACTCCTGCAGGTTGACCAGGTGCTTGAAGGCCCCTTCAGCCACCCGCGAGATGAGATTACGGGAGACGTTCAAAACTCTCAGATTGCTGAGGTTTCTGAAATTCTCGAGCTGGATCCGTGAGATGAGATTATCTGAAATATCTAAAACTGTGACATTGGGGGGTATGTTAGACGGCACAAGGCGTAACTGCTCCGAATAGCAGAGCACCTTCAGTCTGTTGGTATAATTGAGAGAGCCATGAGCCACACAGCTCCCCAGGGAGTACCCAGCTGTCGGTGCAAAACGAACCCAGGTAGGCAGCAGGCAACATGAGACTAGATAAATAAAATGCATGCTCTTCCCCAAAGGTATTAATATTTTTTATTTTGTAGAAAGTCCAGCAGTCTCTGCAGCTGACGATGACTGGAGAATTTCCGGTAGCGACAGTCTCCGTGACTCAGATGGGCATATTGGTCCGTTTTGAACTGTTGCGGAACAAGTATCGCTTTTTAGGGGTAAACTGCGTTAAGCACTTTCATCTTCATCCTATTATGAAAACTTCCTGTGAAGAAAAAGTGGAAGTGTATGAATGTATCCTATAGAATATCTGTTTACAGCCCGTTGCAAATAGATGGGGAACCAAACATCAGACCACACCTCTGGTTCTTCACGTGTAGAATTACATACAACTTATTTTTAATGGAGCAGAAATGAATTTGTTCTTACTGTGGGCTAGCTCAGCACTCCAATCTTATATTCAGTAAATCCTAAAAATATCCTAGAGTGTGTTTCAACTGAAACATTTAACTAAATGGTTGAGCCTGTTTTTTCATCTGCAAAGTATGCACTTCTTAGTGCAATGATAATTGCTAACACTTATATAGCACTTTTCTGGACACTCCACTCAAAGCGCTTTACAGGTAATGGGGACTCCCCTCCACCACCACCAGTGTGCAGCATCCACCTGGATGATGCG